CCCCAAAACCCCAAAACCCCAAAACCCCAAAACCCCTATAAATTAAATAGAGATTGAAAGTTGCGACACATTTAAAGGAAAATTTATAGATTTTGGGTATAATTACTGGGGAAATAGGAGGTTTTAATAGACAAAATTAAATTTGGGCATGGAAATTGAGCAATTTGGGGTTGGAAGGGTTGTAACGAGGGGAAATCATGATGAGTAAGATCACTAAGAGAACTAACTAATCTAGGTCGGTCTATATGGTAGATGAAGAGGCCAATGAGGGTTCTTATGGCTTTAAACAGCCTAGGCTAAAGCTTTCATGGCATAATGTTTCTTATACAGTGAAAGCCAGATATACCAATGAGGAGAAGAAAAAGTTAGATATAAATGAGAAGTTAGCCAATTTGTGAACGATTTAGGTATTATAACAAGCAAATAATTAAATAACGCTACAGGATATTGTGAACAAGGAGATGCATTGTTCATAATGGGGTCATCCGGAGCTGGAAAAACAACTTTGTTAAATATCTTATCAGACCAGATTTCCAAAGCTAAATCGTCAAAGTTCGAGGGGGAGGTCCTTATTAATGATGAGATTCATGTAACAAGTGAGAATTTTGGAACATATGCTTGATATGTCACTCAAGATGACTACTTATTTGAGTCTTTCACTTGTCAGCAGTGTATTGAATTTGCTGCTAAGCTGAAACTCAATCTTTCAAAAGAAGAAATTGATGAGAAAGTAGAAGAAATCATCGAAAGCTTAAGTCTCCAAAAATGAAGGAACACTATTGTTGGTAATGAGTATAACAAAGGAATGAGCGGAGGAGAGAAAAAGAGAACTTCCATTGCAGTAGAGATGATTACTGACCCACAAATCTTATTTTTAGACGAGCCTACTTCAGGTCTTGATAGCTTCACAGCTCATAAAATTGTATCTTTGTTGGTCAGCTTTGCTGAGCAAGGAAAGACGGTGGTCTCGACTATTCATCAACCAAGCTCTGAAACATTCCAAATGTTTCCAAAGCTTTTGCTCTTGATGGAGGGAAATACCATCTTTCATGGCAGAACACTGGAGAGTGTTCCATATTTTAGAAATATTGGGTTTAGTGTGCCTGAATTTTCAAATCCTTCTGATTACTATCTCAGAGAGTTTTATGTCTCTTTCAAAGATAGAGATAAAGGAGAGAAGCTTGACACTCTTACCTCTTCTTATCAGAGGGAGATCCTGCCTGTGATACACAGTGAAATGGAAGCAGCTGAGTTTGATCATGTGACTCAGAAGGATCTGATTAAGAATATGCATAAGGTCTCATGGATCTATGAATTTTGGATTCTTCTATGCAGAGCTTTTTATGATCTCTTCAAAAACCCGTGGATCTTTAAGTACAAAACTATCCCAGTAATAGCAGTTGCTATCTCATGAATGGTGATATTTGCAGATCCTGGTGAGGATAGTGAAGGAATCAGAGGCACTCTGGGCTCCTTCCTCTTCATTTCAGCTCTCTTTGTATACCTTCCTTCTGGAACAGTCCTGATGGTATTCTCAAAAGAAAGACCAATTGTCTTAAAAGAGTGCTTAAATAAGACGTATGGGATTCTTTCATATAGTTTATCAAAATCAGTGGTTGAGATTCCTTTTGAGACAATGTACGTCCTCTTCTTTTCTTTGGTGGTCTACTTTATGATGGGACTAGAAGCATCTTTTGAGAAATTTCTGATCTTTGTGCTGTCTCTATCACTAAACACATTGTGTGCAATGTCACTTGGGCTGTTCTTAGGCTCAGCGATCACTAATGAGGCTTCTTCTATGACCCTACAAGGATTGTGAATCACCCCAATTTTGTTGCTATCAGGAATCCCAGTAAATCTAGGTTCTGTAGATCCATGGATATCATGGTTCTCGTATCTTTCCCCAATAAGATATAATCTAGAGATCTTTGTTCGAAACGAGTTCGAAGGAAAAGCAATTTCATCAGAGAATCCAATAGATATCCTTCAGTATGACACAAGTATTGGATTCAGTTTTTGCATGCTCCTTTTGATTACAGTTGTGTACAGAATTTTGGCTATAATATTTTTGAAAATAACAACTGTGAGGTAACTTTCAACCCTTTTTCAAAAATCGGGGTTTTGGGGTTTTGGGGTTTTGGGG